TATAATGTCCCAGCTTTTCACACTAATAGCAATTTTTTCCCATTCCAAATAAATAGTTGTATAACTGCATTCCAGTAAATCAGGGCTCAAGTTCATGGAGTGAACCAGAGCACTGTTAGTGTTGTAAGAAATTATTGTGAAAATGCTCCTGTTGTTAGAAATGTTTATGAAAACGTTCCTGTTGTAGAATATCCAATGACATACGTAAATTCAAAGGTAAGTTATCACAATCTTATCAATTCATATTATTTATGCAGGCCTGCTTCATTGTATCTCAAACCCTAACCTCATAGGGGTTGTAAAAATGAGCTCTGCTTGATAACTTTACACAACTCCAGCCCTGCAATGAATACATCACTTCAGATGGAGTAACTGGATATGGTTGTTTTGTAACCCTTTCTACATCTTCTGCAAAGATCTCATTCCTCCTTATTCTGGTTCTAAGCTTGACTTTAGAAGCTTCTTTCTGATGTGACACTCTAAATCTGTTTGATAAGTAGGCCACTAATGGCCAATAGTTGTTACAGCTTTCACTGTTGCTTAATGTTGTTAAAACTGGTCCTTTTGAAGGTGCAGCACGAGGAATAACTTCTTATTTACTAACCCCTCCATTAACTTTGGAAATTATTTGAACCTGTACTTAATATGCCTCCCATGTTAGTTGGTTTTTTCAATTGGAAGATGTTGATCTGACCTACTAAATTCTGTAATTTGATGAGGTATTGATGTAAATGAAGTAGTCCAGCAAGGTCCATCAGTTATAGATGAACAACAGTAGTAGTAAAAGGTGTAGACCTGATAGGTTCTCCTATTCCATATGACAATTATGTTTGATGTCGTTTTGTACTTTGTTAATGTAATTTGATAATACCAAAATAGTCCCACTCCTGACACCACTTTTGTAATTATTTCTATTGTTGGACAAGTTCTTTTGGATTACTTAGCAAAAAGAATAATGCAAAGTACAATCCACTTAATGATTTCACTTACAGATTTCATGTTCTAACTAACCTAATGTTCATCAAGCGATAGGCCTAATATCAAATAATGCTAATCAGTTACTTGGTAAATTTTCTTTTGTAACTAAGACATTGTCTTGTATTTCTAGTGACTTATCGAAAAAAAAAATCAATATTTACAAAATTGATATAACTGACTGACTGACTTGCAAATTTGCTAACTCAATAAATACTCATATACTGTTCTCTAACTCACATTTTAATCCATTCAAATTATTTCTTAAGCTTTCAAGAAGGTTCTAGTCATTAAACCACACATTTATCATGTAAAGTCAAACTTCCCTGTGGGAAGACAATAATACAAACATCTAAATTTAAAAACTCTAGTCTGCAACATTATATAGCTATACCTTATTTGTTTATTTATTGTTAAACTATCTGTGCTGTACCCATCACAAGTATTGAAACCTAGTTTTTAGTGGTGTGAACCTTCAGAATTACTGTTGAGCCACAAAGACCAATAGCTATGACAACAAGAAGATTGTGAAAACAAAAACAGAGAGATATTTGGAAGTTAAATAATTGTTTTAAAAATAAAAGTTACCAGATTTGACAAAAAAGCTTAGTTATTATTATTCTAAAGTTGGGAGTAATGGAAACAGTAGTTGAAAGGAAAAACTTGGTGATATTTTAGAAAACATTGTCAAAAGAAATTATTTTTTCCATTTTCTTATCTACATTGATATTTACAAGAGCATAATTAGTAAAGTCTGCTGATAACTTTTGGGTAATGCTAGGTCTAAGTGTATTAAGGATGTTGAGTTACTACAGAATGACTTTGATCACTAAGCGATTTGAATCAATATTTAGCCAATCACCTTTATAGCAAGTTCAAGGTAGTACATTTGGGCTACCATAATTTGGATTACACATACATATAGAGAGTTAACCACTCAATAGCATGAATGAAGAAAAAGGATCTATCCACAGTGATAGATAAGTCACTCAAGCCTTAATGGTAGTACTCTATTGCTAGTAGTAAAGCTAGTAGAAATGTTTAGTGTATTTATAACTTTAGTGATATGCCAAAAGTTATTTACCTCTATATAAATGACTAGTTAATCCTTGCTCAGAATTACATGTACATTTTGGTCTCATCGTCTAAATGGGCATACTGTTTATTTGTTTTCAGATAGTTGTACAAAGCTACACAAGGATTATCTACATTAGTCATCTTAATTTTGAACTGATAGAACAGAGGAAATGTAGCTAGTTAACAGTCAAAACTGGAAACTCTTGGACTACTCTTATTTGACCACATAGTGGGGTTTAATCACCCTTATAATGTATACATGGCCCCAAAATGCAGAGCTCAATTTTTCAGTAACAGGACTTGCTCCATGAACCCTCAGATTTACAGTCTAGCTTGCTAACCACTAGGACACCTTTGGCCAGAAAGAATATTGACTTATTGGAAATAATTCATAGAAGGACTACTACGATTGATGGGTTGTCTTGTAGAAATATACATCTTAAAATCTCGCTGGTTTTCTCACAAGAAAAGAAAGGCAAGAGGTGATCTTATAGAAGACTCCCAAGATTATCCAAGTGATCAACAGGATAAAAGGCTTCTACTCTCTATGTGCAGTATTCTGAAAACTATGGGAAGAAAAGACAACTTTAAGATTTGGAAAACACAGACTAGATACAAGTTAAGAGAATTCTATTTTTCTTACAGGGTGATTGACTTATGGAATTAGTTGTGGTCAGCAGTAGTGGAGGCCAACACTTCATCAGTGATTTCCTGAGATATAAATGCTGGGTTTGAAGTTTTTATTTTCAAGAATGTATTTGTAAGGACAACTTCGAAAGACCAAATGGTTTCTTGTTGTCACATGTTTTCCTATACAACGTTTTTTTGGTGTACAAAAACAACAACAAAAAACGACTTGATTATGTGATATAATCTCGTCATTACATTAAGGTAATCAAAATATAGTTTATTATATGTATCCTTTTGGATAACTCTGTTACTTAATTGATGTCTAATTAGTTATTCATAAAAGTCTGTATCCTTCTTGTAAGCTCGCACCGTATTATATGATTGTAAGTATTTCTTTACAGTGAACATATGTAACCTAGATAAATAATTAGTTCTACTTTGGTATTGAAAGTAGGTACCATAATTATTTAACTTTGTGTTAGTAAAATGTCGCCACGTAAAATAACTATTTATCCCATTTTTAATGGGAAAGGATACTGTTTTCCTCTTAGAGCCTATCTTGGACACTTTATTGCCCCCCCCCCCCTTTCACATATGTCCCGTAAAGTGTCCGAATTCTATACTTCCAATATAGATATTTACAACATTTTGACGCAAAACACTTCCAGTTCTAGATTACTGCTCTAGTATTACCTTTTTTACTGTCGTCCTTACACAGACTTTCTTAGAATTGAAGAGCTTAGCAAAAGATTTTAGTTCTAATTTACCAGTATACTCTCTTTACTGGAGAAAATCCGTTAAATCAGTTTTAAGTTCTAGTGATATTAATTATTTTGATCCCAGATCAAAACTAATGAAGTTAAATTTACTTTACTCCATTCATTAATGTTCAAGATAGTTTGTGAAGATAAACACACACACGCAGATAGGTAGGCTAATATTAAGTCGCACATGCACTGTATTGTTGTTGTCAGGCTAGTCCAAGCTGTGTTATAATAGCATTGAGGCCAGCAACCCTAGTTCAGATATTGGCATTTTCCCACGACAGAAGGTTACGTGAGTAAAATAAACAATTTTTCACATTGTTTCACATACTCCAGGATATAAACGTGTGCACAGCAATTACACCCAATTTTACAGACCAGTTAGTAACTTAACTTATTAGCATTAACGAGTAATCAACATAATTATGAACTCTCTTTGGAAATTAACAGTTTAATTATGTTATCTTTAGTTTTTGGAAATTGGGACGAATATAACTGAATTTTTTCTTCGCATAATAATTTCGTATGAAATGGTATTCTACATTATATTTTATCTATACAAGTCGAGATCCTCGAATTTTTGCAATAAATGTAATGAAATTCGTGTTTACTGAAACTTTAATCTGAATGATAAAGGTGCCAACGCGTTACGTAACCAAGGAACTCGTCGACTGCCCGTTTGAGTAAGATAACAGCAGCGACAGAAGTGAAAGAATATGCGACGGTATGGTATATTGACACTCATATAACAGTTTTCCCACACTGCTGCTTTAACTAAAAAAAAAAAAAAAGTTTTTTTCTATTCCCGAATGTTTTGAAAAGATATTTATGATTTTCAGCCTACATTTTCTTCACGTATTGTCTCTTGCACTCGATCCGAAAGTCAACTACTCGCCCTATCTTTCTACACCAGCTGCACTCTGTGGCTCAGCGGAAAGTCTGATGCCTTATAACTCAAAAAATCGGTTTTGATACTCGTGTTGGACACAGTACATATAGTCCATTATATGGCTTTGTACTTAATAAAACCCTTCTAAACTAACAACGTTGCAATGTCATTTGGCAACGCTCGTCAGTTACCAGCGAAAATCTCGGAGTACACTTGGATTTATTGTTAAAGAAGTAAAACCTTATAGTCTACTAGCTGGAGTACTTGTCCGTTGGACGAGTTAAATAAAAAATCGTTTGTAAGAAAGAATAAGAAAATTATGCTTCTGTTCTTTTTTTCTCAACATAGTAAACATAAAAAAAATGCAATAAAATACGTAACGGTGCCAATGCTGAAAAGAAAGACATACTGTTTTCAAGAAGTCTAACAATAGTGGTTACACAGTCCATTCTAATGCTGAGGGGTATACAACATTAGTAGTTTAACCCCCCCCCCATGACCTTCCTGATATCATCCTTTATCAAGTTTGGTGCTGATTGATCAAGAAATCAGAGAAGTGCAATGCAACAACAATGATGATCATAAAACTTCGTAGTTAATTATCCCTTCTAATTTTTTTTATTGTAAACGTCATCACGTGGTACCACCCTTATTTACTAACTTACTTTCTCTTTCTCTAACCTCTTATTAGTTAACTCCAACTCTTCCATTTCTTTCTGAGCGTCCACGTGACATTTCACATCATCGATAAATGGAACAACGGGTGTTGCAGAGCCCTGATGTAGAACAGATTTATGGCTTTGTTTAAATAAGATCACTTTTTGTCATTATTAGTTTTACATCTATTTTAAACTTAGTTAATTAAATAATTGGCTAGATTTCCATTGCTGTTTACCATAAAAGCGTGAATATAATTACTTGTATTTTTATGTTATGGCTCAGTAAGTCTCTAAATAACAACTTTGAATTTAAGTCAGAACTTAATTACGAGTAGCTAAACATCTACAGTGGTGTGTTGTATGACGAAACTTTTTAAACCCTTAAATACTAGGGTCATGTTTGGTGGGGTCATATAAACATGAAAGTTTTTTTTTATATATATATATTTTATTTCTATCATAGGTACCAAGAAGGTTTACATGTTTTATAAAGTCATACATTTAACATCTTTAAAAATCCTGCGAGATATAACAATGTTTTGCACAAGTCTGACAAGAACAATTAATGCAACGGTGGTTGACGGTTTATAGGAATATTCTCCACTACGATGAATGAGTTAGCAAACAGGAACGCGCAAATGTTTCACACATGTTCAACCAACCATTGGTAAATATTTATTACAATTTTGTAAATTCATTAATGTATAAAATAATGTAAATCATATATAAAATACGTAGTAATAAGTTACATACATTGTTAAGCCTAAACATTACTTACAACGTTTTGTGAATCTTCCAATGTTTGACATCTTTCTTCCATTTCATGTAACTTGTTTTTAAGATCCTCCTAGAAGTAAAAGAAAAAAAAAATTCTGTCCTTTTCAAACACTAAGAAAATAACGTCAATCAAATTCCTTTTTCCCCACAAAATGTCCATTTTTTTCTACTTTAGAGAAACATTTTTATTAATTTTTTTTATCATAAAAAGTTCTCTCTTTTAGAAGACTATTTCCTACAAAAAGGTTTATAATTTTGTAAATTGCAAATTTCAATTGGACGACAGGTTATGGAATTAAAAGTGAGAAATAGACGCTCTCTCAATAATCAGAAATGGATCTGTCGAAAATTTAAGATTAAAAAGTGAAATTTTGTGATTTAAACTGTGTGTAATTTAGTAGAATATGGTTCATGTTTCGTAAAATTAATTTCATTTCAGTTTTATCTAACAATGGAGACACCTTAACGTGAATAAAATTCGCCCAAAAGACCTAGTGAACAAATATTTAATAACCAGATTAAAGTTAAATATAAAACAGGAAATTCATCAATATTAAAATAAATGTTTGAATTTTGTAAACTTATTCCAGGAAATACATATTAAATAAATCAAAGACTTCAGCGAGATATTTAACGTTATACAAAATTTTAAAAGTACCAGGTATTAACCTTTTAAAACGGAGATACGACCATATTTCTATAGGAATGTATGTAAACATTTTACCTGTAAGCAAAGACTGCGAAAGGTAAAGAATATGGGATTAGGTTATTTGATGTTCTATGTAAGTTATTTGATGTTCTATGTAAAACAGTTAATATACTTTTCATTATTTGATGTTCTATGTAAAACAGTTAATATACTTTTCAGTGATTTACGATTAACATACTTAACAATTTAATAGCTTTATACCTGGATCAATGAACACGATCTTTGAATTTCTAAAGCCTATTGAGGTCAATATCAAAGAATCAGTATTTAAAACTTGTCACACTAGGATAACCATAGATATGTGTTTAGTATTCAAATTACTCGTAAAGCAAACGTAAATATTACTGAAATAATATTCTTGAAATATTCACACGTAAGTGCATTATTTAAACTTGGATCAAACTGGTCCTAAATTAACAATGGCTTCAAGAATAATAACTGTAATACTCAAAGAACAAAACTATATTTAACAACTAGCTTGAGTACCCGTCCCCTGGACGGAAGTTATGTAAATTCGTGATTAATGAAAGGTTATTTTAGAACATGAAATGTTGCTTCCCTTATACGTAATGGTAAAAAACGTCCATAAAAACTGCAAAACACAAAATGTGAAAACGCAAATTTGCATGCATCTCCGCGTGGACCCAACAAACCTTCATGCCAAATTTGATGCATATCCATCAACAAGGGACGAAGTAGTGGTAAAAAACGCCCATAAAAACCGCAAAACGCAAATTTGTATGTACTCTAGGACGGATCTAATGAACATCCATACCAATTTTGGCGAAGATCCGTCCACACCCTGCAAAGTAGTTACATGGACATACAACAGACAGTACTATTACATTTATATAGATACAAGAAAAATTGCTTGAGTAACACAATTATAAATATATATTTTTGAAATAGTAAAATCAAACTTTGAAATGTTCCTTTAGCTCAATCGTAATGGTGACGACACTAAGTAGGGTTATTTTTTCAAAATTTAAGAGACAAGTTTAGTGTTTTGACTAATAATAATAAAATAATATTATGAGCATTTTGTACTTTATTCTAACATTTCCTATTATAATACTGTTTTACTTATTACTCACTATTTCTTCATTTTCTGTTGTAGACAATGGTATAGCTTCTGTTGAACAATTTTTTTCTTGGATTGGTTCATGTCTTTCCTCATAGTTTTGCCGACTGTGCCGCCCCCGTAGGAGCTGAAAGATGTAACCAAATTATGAAAATAAAAATTCTCATGAACATTTTATACCGAAATAATAAAATTGGTTATCTGTGTCAATAAACAATTAACATTTAAATAAAAATTAAGATAAAATAAATTGTCCAAATACTATTAAAATAGGTTAAACCTTCCCCATTGTACACATGGATATCAGTGTATACAATGTAATAAAAATACAAGTAAAACAAAAACAGACAAGAAAAACGGGAGATACTCGTGCGACAAACAATTAACCCAGTTAAAGTTTCTCAAAAGGTTGTTTAAACACGCCGAATATCAACTGTGAAATAAATTCAAAAATAAAAAAACTTAACGATACAAAACTTTTGGGTATATGTAATTTCTTATTCCATCTTTAAGAAACTTTGAGATTTAACTCACTGCGATTAACACAGTAATTATAAGCGTTTAACGTAAATATCTAAAAAATATTGCAAATGTTTTTTTTAATTAATTAATATCAAGTGATTAAAATTATTACTATTTTGAAACTGAATACACACGATATACACCAGATGTCTTTTAAGAAATTTAAAAAATCTTGAATATGAAATTCAAAATATTTCCTGATATCCAGTTTTATTATCGCATCGGGTGTTTAGTAATTAATTATGGACGAGTGACACATTTCATGTTACTGATTAAATGACTGAAAAAAAATACAAGTAAAATATATCACAAAATACGTTTAAAAAAATGCTTCTCGTGGAAAGGTGTTCTCATACGTAACAAAACATAATTAAAACTATAGGTTATTTAACAAGATATTTCAACTGACAGAAACTAAAAATATATCAAATATAGTTTACTTCACAATTTGTATAAAACAAAAAAGGTACCGTAAAATTCATCGTAACTGTAGTTTACACGCAACGTTATCAAACCAACCCCAAGCACATCTCTTTTTTAAAAATACTATTTAAGAAACTGCTTGTAGTTTCATCTGTACAAGAAGAAAAAAAAACACTTTTGTAATCTTTTCTGCAGGTTTAGTAAACAATAGCCTCACTATCATTATTTAACTTACCATTTTGCATAAACTGAGTAAGATAAGGAAAACAGTCACTGTATTTTGTGCATAAACATAAACAGAAGATTCCATACAACTTCACGTTTCGTAATAACTCAACGAAGCAGATAGGGATGCCTCATTGTCGTCAACACCTCTCATACTTACATCACGTTTCGTATAACTCAACAAAGTAGACAGGAATACCTCAATGTCGTCAACACCTCTCGTACTTATCTCACGTTTCGTGAAACTGAACATTAAGTAGACTCAAATCCTTCATTCTCGTCTACACTCTCGTACTTACCCCCCGTTTCGTACAGCTGAACAGTGTAGACAAAAACCTCTCATGACGTCTGTGAGCCATGTGTAATTTCATGGTTTCTTCTGTGCTGTCATGTTTTCTCTCAGCGTTAACTTTAAAAAGTTGTTTCTTCCATTCACTACACAACCTAGAAAGGAAAAGTCCAGAGTGTTAACATTCAAGACTTGTTATCATAATCTGACTAGATATAAGCGTTTTCAAGGCAATATTCGTGATAAAAGATAAGAACAGATTTGGCACGTACGCCAATCAGAACAGAAAAGAATGAAAGTTCCTATCTTGCAAGGTTAATTTAACCTTAATTTTTTTTTACCCTACACTAATATTGTTCTTGATTACATATACAAACACTACACACAAACTCGCATATAATTTCCTATAAAGTGGTTTTGAAAACGCTGTACTAAAGCACTACTGATATTTTAGAATAAATAGGCAATCCACTTCTCCACAAATATAGTAACATATAACAACAATACTGAAAAGAAACTAAAAAGTCTGCCATATTTTCGGGTTTTGCCCGTGCATTCAAGTTAAGTCCGAAGACGACGACCACAACAAAAAAGACAGAGAGAGGGGCTAAATATATGCATGCGTAGTTGTCTGATGTTACAACTGAAGCTCTGTACTCAGAATCCAATCAGTATATGAAAAACCTTCTCCACATAATCCAGAACACTAATCCTAATCTGCATTCCAGGTGATAGTACAGCAGAAAGTGTTCTCAGTGAAGAATGTTAAGTACCAACACCAGAGCAAGGAAAAATATCTACACACTTAAAATAACAAATGGTGGTTTATTCGAATGGATAAGCTAAATAAGAAAATACTAAATTATGTCAAAACCAGTAAACCCGAACTTCTGTTAACAGAAAAAAAATATCCATTGTACCAAACAACCTTTTCAGATTACTAGAGTTGCCATTAGTGCTTTGTTGTATAGTAGTAAAGCAGACTGTCACTCTTATAATGCATCCATGGCCCCAAAGTATGGAGCGCAGACGTGTGTGTAGCAACGGGATGCGATTTATGGACCATTGGATCTACAGTGCGGTTCGCTAAATACTAGGCCACGCCGGCAAGACATAGAATGTTAAAACGCAAAAAATATTACCGTAAGTCTTTTTAATTTTTCACTCTCTTAGCATGGCTTAAAGAAGTTCGTGAAATCCTGATAATAATCTAAAGCTGCAGAATCTCCCTAAATATTTTAAGTATCGTCACGAACATCGTATTCATACGCGAGTTCTAGTTAATTCTAATGAGCTCTAGGGTAACTTTGTTTCTACATTAGTCAAGTTTTTATGCGCGAGACGTAACAGAACAAAAGTTTATACAGAAAACCACATTAAAACTGAAATGGATTTACGAGTTTAGAAACTATTTTAGGGCACCAGAACGTCACAAATTAAAGTCAACGTTTCATTGGAAATACATATCAAGCATCTAAAACAAAAGGAGGTTCTCACAATTACGTACCCATCTAAACGAACGAAAGAATATGTAACAATTTCGGGTGAAGACTTCATCTTGTTACAGTGATTTAACAACGAAATTTAAATAATGTCAACGAATAAAGCTGATAACAAGTTACGTGTTCTACCACTCTAGGTATACAGTTATGACCCTTCAATATTTACACACGTCTAGTTGCAATTAAAAAAAAACTCGAGCATTCTAGACAGAAGGCGCTGTTCAATGATAACGAACTGTTTATCCCACGTTGCAGCAAAGCCCATGACACGGCAAGTGGTTTAGGTTTAGGATAAACTTGTCCAGAAAATATGCGGAAACTGTTTAATGTCACGATTATTATGTCAAGCTTTAATATCCCACAAATATTTAAAACTATGCTTTTGACAGAGTAACTCGACCAATTCGTGTTGCATGACAAATATAATGCAATAAAATTCGAATTAACTAAAATATGACTGACTACCATAAAATTTCCTAACAGTTTTAATTTCATGTTACCGAAAAAACAAACAAACTACAATGCAATATGTGGAATGTCATATGACCGAAAGTTTCTCATAATACATAGTCCACTAGCGACTAATCCTAGCATCGTACAGAAAGGGAATGTTTCTGGATGCAATCACCGAATTCCAAAACAAATAAATCCACCATGACCTTGTCTTTATTTGAAACGTAGGACGAACATGCATGATCAGTGACAAAGTTGGTGTCAACTATGTTTACAAACGTTTCGTTATCAGGATGTACAATTCGGTCTCTTTCTCTCCTTGCAGTATTACGTAAATACCCCACCCTTCAGATATTAGAGAGAGACAATGTTTGTTGAATTTCGCGTAAAAGATACTTGAGAACTATCTGCGCTAGTTGTCCTCAATCTAGAAGTGATAGATTAAAGCAAAGGTAGCTAGTTAACGCCACCCACCACCAACTCTTTGGCTACTCTAATCGAATATTGGAATTAACTGTGACTTTATAATGCCACCACAGTTGAAAAGGCGAACATATTCGATTATGGAACTCAAACCCACGACACGCAGATTTCCAGTCGAGCACCCTAACCATATCAGGCCAAGACAGATGGAGATTTCCGTTCCGTATACTTTCATGACTCAGAAATGTTTCTCACTTTTAACGGTTTGTTTCAGAACTTTCGCGCAAAGTTGCTCAATTGATATACCTGCTGGTTTTTGCACGTATGGTAAAATATTAGTGGAATTAACGCACCGCAGTTGAACTGCATTGCAGTATATCGTCATCAAATTCACCCGGTGACTTGCAAAGGATTATTTTAACATTTCATTCAAAATCATACCTAAGCTCATTGAGACAAACTGTTAAAGTTAAACTTCACAAATTTGATAAATAATAATTAAGAGAAAATGATGCAGAAAGTTGCTTGAAAAATTACAACTGAAGTTTTATCTTGCAAGATAATTGTTTTAAGTATGGCGGCGATTCTTCAGTGCACGCTTTTAACGTCTGCAGTCCTCCACCCCAACTGTAGTGTCCAAGTATATATAACATTTCCCTAGTCAGATTATTAGTCAAATATTCTCCTCGGTCATTTCCTTTAACATTCTAAACACTAAGCGTGCACGTTGTTCTTGTAAGAAAAAAAAAAAGCATCTCTCTCTCTCTCTCTCTCTATATATATATATATATATATATATTTCACACCAGCGTATGTGTGTAGAAAAGTTACTTGTGACCCAAAAGTATGATTTTTTTTTATTCATTCACGCAAAATCACGGTGTTTACGTGCAGAAATAAAGGTAACCCGATTATTACGAAAAAAGAAAAAAGTCGCGTGTTGTATCACTATAATACAATAAAAATTTATATATTTTGGGAGTTATTTATACGAGTTCTACGACATCATAAAAGTTCACATCTCTAGGCCTTTTGCCACTCCAGGGTTAAAGAAAAATGTATAATTAGAGAGAATTGTGGATATTCTAACTGTGATTTATTATCCAATATTCCCAAGTTTCAAGCTTTTAAACAGGTATCCGGTTAGTTAATTTTGTGGTCAAAACTAATAGGTTTAATAACAGACTTAACGAAAGGTCTTTAAATATTAATTGAAAGAACTAATCAATGGTATTACTACCTCAAGTCTTTTTACTGTATTTTGATTAGGATGTTATAATCTTAAAAACAGGTGTATTAACCTTTATTGGAATAGGTTGGCCTAACACAGATTTAAAAGTGCTTACCATTTTAAAATGTTATTCACGTATGAGACATTTAAACTTGCTCCTATGTGAACATGTATGACCACATTGAATCAACGAACCCTTAATATCTCCCGATCATCGACCATTGAACCATTCCCCTATATGGACGAGAAAGGTACCGCGAAGTTTCCTTGACAGGACAGCGTTACTATTACCTCTGTTCACGACCTTCCATTTTCTAGAATCATACAAGTGTTCTGTTTTTTTAAAACAGTGTGATAAATACTCAACTAACAACAAATTATAAATGCTACAGTTTTAGGTATATAATAATAGAAAATTAATGTAGGTTATTTAAACGTTAAAATTTTAAGCTAGTTTATATTTTTATATAAATATCAGCTATAACGTTCAATTAGGAATATTAATTGTACATTATGAATTTAACAATAACAGAGTAAAAACGCGTAAAAGGCATTTTTAATATAAAAAAAAAAACTTACATATGTAACTGGTTCGTGGGGGAAACATTTACCATTATGACAGACAAACATAAAGCAGTCCTCTGAAGCATATTCTTGTAAAAGACATTGCCACTACCTTTTTCATCCGTACAAATTTCCCCTATATATATATATATATATATATATATATATATATATAT